AGCTGAGTCGAATTCACAACACTTTTCATGTATCGAATCTGCGGAAATGCTTGGCTGATCCGAATCTAGCTGTACCTTTGCCAGAGATTCAATTAGACAGTAAATTGAATTTTGTAGAAACACCAGAAGCCGTAATTGACAGAAAGATCAGGGTATTGAGAAACAAAGAGATAAATCTAGTTAAAGTTCAGTGGAAGTTTCACAAAGGACCGGAAGCGACATGGGAATTGGAGTCAAAGATGAGATCAGAATACCCAGGGCTTTTTGATTAAAGGAATTCCGGGACGGAATTCTTTTGAGGGGTGGATAATGTAATAACCGGATCTTGGTTATTACCCAAGGTAATTAATGTGTGATTATTTGATTAAATGATTACGTGATAGCATGATAATTTGATACATTCTGGTATGTGAAGTTATGTATTAATTGAATATATATATATATATATATATGCATAAGATATATTATGCATGCATGAGGTATGAATGTATGTATGTATGTGCATGTGTGCATATTTATGCATGAGGTGTAAAGGAGGAGGGAAGGCGGTTTAGCCGACCTTCCATATTTGGAAGGTATAAAAAGGGGTTGAGTCTCTTCATTTGTCTTTCCTGCTATTTTGAGAAGATTGAGTGTTTTAAAGAGAGTGTTGGCCGGATTGCAAGGGTTGGAATTCAAAAGAATTGATTTCAAGTTGATTGCAAATATTTGGTTTCAAAAGCTTGATAAGGTGAGTGGTTTCTAAACCTTTTTACATAAAATTATTACTGGTTTTATTTGCATGTTTCATGATATTATTCTTTAGAAAGAAACCTTGCATATTTTTTTAAGTGTTTATCCGGACAAAGAGTGACCGGATAAGTATTTAAACCGGACAAGCCTTGAGCGGCTCATTGTCCGGATATTAGTTAAACCGGACAAGCCTTGAACGGCTTATTGTCCGGATATTAGTTAAACCGGATAAGCCTTGAGCGGCTTATTGTCCGGACTTGAATCCGGACAAAGATAAATTATATTTAAATGTTGACCGGTGTAGTTAAACCTGTCAAGTCTTGGGCGGGGTATTGTCCGGACTTGTATCCAGACAAAGATGAGTTTGCTTCTAAGTGTTAAACCGACCAAAGCTTATGTGGTATATTGTCCGGACTTGATATCCGGACAAAATTGATTTTAATCCTTAAGGGTTTAAATCAGACGATGCTTGACCGGATTGTTGACCGGATTGTTGACCGGATTGTGTTGAAAATATTTTGATGAAAATTGATATTTTATCATAAAATGAAGTTTTGATATAAATGTTTTTGGATTGATGACAATTCCAATGGTTGCGGTCGATTTGGAATTATTTTATAAAATGTTTGGATGAAGTGATAAGGGTGGCATATCAAGGAGAGGTGTACATTTGATATAAGGGTGACATATCAAGGAGAGGTGTCCATTTGATATAAGGGTGGCAGAAAGAAGAGCAAAGAGGATGTTGCTGGTTGTGCTGATTGCCAACTCTGAGGGCAATATCCTCGTTGAACGGTACCATGAAACTCTCTACAATATAGATTCTACATTAATGATTTAAAGCAAACTACAAAGTTTATGTAGCCAACAATTATGTTAAGAAGGGGTTGTTCTTGCAAGGGTTTGTTAAATTGTACTTCCTGATAAATGAGCCTTTTGCTCAAAACAGAAAAAATAAGGAGACTCTTGATCTTTTGTGGGTGTAGATCAAGGGTCTCAACATCAAAAATTTGAATGAACTCATGAAATATTTATTCGTCTTCCCACCATGGTCTTTCAAAGTGGCATCACTTGAATGCAGTCCAAAGATGATAATGCATGCAACATGCTTTTATATCCTGAGCTAGCTGGGTTAGCTAAAAATGAATCCTAAGGTAATTAGAGACATTTAATGACTTAGTTGGCTACTTGGGTCTAAATTAGTTAGTTGAGGGAAGTTTCTTGGTTATAAAAGGGAGGCTGGAGACTGTAATAGTCATGCTTATTTTCATATATCAGAGAACTTAAGCGAGTGAGCATCAATGGAGAGTTAGCCTATCTCTTGAATACATGCCATTATCTTTCTTTGTTTATTTCTTTCATAGTTGGTCATTTCGATACTCCATTTGCCCAGTAAAATTGTCTGCACTCCTATCAGACTTGTAGAGGATATGTAGTAAATATTTTTGTGTAAAATATGATATGAATAACTTTTCAATGACATTCATTAGATAAGCGGAAAATGATGTAGTTGTTTTAAAAAATCCAAAAGCTGTTAGGTCATTTATTCTTTGGCAACTTAAAAGCCAAAAGACTTGTTCAATGGACACATAAGATCAAGAGTCTCCTTATTTTTGATCTTAAGACCCTTGATCTACACCCACAAAAGATCAAGAGTCTCCTTATTTTTTCTGTTTTGAGCAAAAGGCTCATTTATCAGGAAGTACAATTTAACAAACCCTTGCAAGAACAACCCCTTCTTAACATAATTGTTGGCTACATAAACTTTGTAGTTTGCTTTAAATCATTAATGTAGAATCTATATTGTAGAGAGTTTCACGGTACCGTTCAACGAGGATATTGCCCTCRGAGTTGGCAATCAGCACAGCCAGCAACATCCTCTTTGCTCTTCTTTCTGCCGCCCTTATATCAAATGGACACCTCTTAAAAGCCAAAAGACTTGTATTAAGGGACCAGAATGGTATATGAATATGTATTTCTTTGATACGAAATATGTGTTACATGCAATGTGTGGGTTGGGGCGTTACAGCCTACTTAGGGTTGCCATAAGTAAAAGCTAGGGGTGCCATTAGCCACCCCCATCATATAATTAGGCATGGAAATAGGTCCCGATTCGTCGGAAAACCCGGTCCATCCGCCTCGGTCGGGGAGGGAATTCTTCGCTGAATCGGGGATGGTGACGGAGACAGGGATCCCCGTTTGTCTCAAACTAGGGATGGGGACGGGTATGGTACTCCCCGTACCCGTTATATATATATATATATATATATACACACACACACACACACACATATATATATATATATATATATATATCTATATAGGGTTGGGTTCACATGAAACCAAGGGTTTTTTGTAAGACCCGTAAGACCAATTTATGTTTATTGATCAACTTTATAAGCTAATGATCTAATGGTCTAAAGTTGTACGGTGACAATTTTGTGATTATTGAGAAGTCTCATAGCGTTTACGAATGTTCAAATTGTTAGATTATATATTTAATCCAAGAGTTGAGAATTGGTCTTACGGGTCTCACGAAAAACTTTTGGTCTCACATGATCCCAAGTATATATATATAGGAGCGATCAAATGAAAATCACTCCAATTTGTAAAAACCGTAAAAACTACTCTCATTCGTCGATTTCATTGTTTAATCTTATGAAATTTTTTCATGAAATTGTTTAATCTTGGGAAATTGTTTCATATAATACTTTTTTGATGAAGTTGTTTCATATATGGTTATGAAATTGTTTCATATAATACTTAATGAAATTATTTCATGTATTTCTCTAAAATTAATGAAACTGTTTCATGTATTTTTCTAAAATTAAAATAATGAAGATGATAATATCCATGATTAACATCATCCACAATAAAAATGATTAATCAACCTCTTATAATTACAAAAAAATGAACAAAATGAAAAATTATGATTAGTTGAATGAAGTTTGTACAGTTTGTACAAATTATGTGGTTTTTATTTGAACGCTCCCCTATATATTATTTATTTCAACTAAAGTGGTAATTCATAATTTTTTATTTCCTAACTAGGTTTATAATCTAAAATTGTTACTTTTTGGATGTTAATATGTAATATTTTGGATGTCAAGTCAAAATACAATTACTCGACAAGTTTTGTATATTACTCGATATGGTTTTATATTACTCAATATTTTTTGGTACATGTGACTTTAAGTTTTTTTAGATTAAATTGATTTTCTTTTTTTGGTTTTAGGTTATTAGTTCTTATATGATGTTGTGGTTTTTTTGTATTAAATTAAATTCATTTTGATTTTAGGTTTACAAAAAATGTTTGAGATTTAAACATGTATTGTCTATCACATATTTAATTCAAAATAACTTGTATAAACGGAAAAAAAAATCTCCGTATCCCTGTTGGGGATCCCCGTTCTCCGTTGGGGATGGAGATGTTATGTAATTATAATCCCCGGTAGGGACGGGGATATAGATAAGTAAACAGGGACGGGGACGGTGATTGAAGTCCCCGCCCCATTCGCATGCCTACATATATATAATTAGTAATCAAGAATGAATCTAACGAATATACGGACTTAAATCGCCTACCTAAACCAAGATTACAAAAATCATCAATAGAGATTTTGATTGTTATAAAATTAAAATGTCCAGTTCGATCTCATGAAACCAGCCGAAAACAAACTCTAACCGTGTATGTATCTCTTCAAATAATGATGCATTAATTAATAATGGGAGCATTCTTTATATAACTTTCTAATTCATAAGATCCATGAGATCTAATTTAAATCATAAAAAATTAATTGAAAAAGAAAATCTAATATAAATTTAGCCGTCTTTTCTCTCTCCTATTTATTTGTTCCATCTCCCTTGTATTCTCTCCATAACATATACAATGAATATACACACACACATACACACAAGGTAAATAGTTTCTTAGAAATACTAATTAATATAGTTTGTGAACACATTCAATTCGAGATCTAATATGGCTTGTGAACATCAACTAAATTATAAAACCTACCATTTGTAAATACCATGCATGTGAGCACCCTAGTCAAAAGTTTCTTATGCTTGTCATACGATGTGTAAGTATATTTGATTGTGCATGTTAATACAGAGATAGAAGAGTGAAGAGAAACAGATATATCCTAAAAAGTGCATTCATTTTTATTTAAGAAACAATAAAAAAGATGACAGTAGTTTATAGATGTTTTGTTTTATATTTTTATTTTAAAAATATACAAACAAAATAATTACATGACAGAAACTATTCCATAAAATAATATATTGGACATTGGATTATAATTTATTTTTATAATTTTAGCTTCGAAAAACTAACTTTAGTGGAAATACAAAATCAAATGTAAGCGTATAAACTTCTATGATCATACAGATGAGTAATTAGTTTGAGCCAACTCCGTTGATGGCTGAGAAGACTCCGTGTTATTTTTCGACTTTTTTGTCAACTTATACTCTCCATAGAAGTAAGAGGCAAATCCCCATAGAGACAGAACAAGTGCAACACCTTTCTCGGCTTGAAACTTTTCTTTATAAAACACGACAGCTAAAACCTCTGTCACTGGAAGGAGAACGGCGATGATGATCCCAGATAGCAATGACGATGAACAAAAGATCACTCCAATGGCTCCCAAGAAGAAGCATTGCCAAATTAAAGCGCTAACACACATTATTATGTAATATTTAGTTTTCCCCAACTCAAAATCCATTGCCTCCCTTGGAATCACCTACAAAGAGCACAAAATGAAATCCGGTCTAACTCCCACCAAAATATAATATGCTTTCCATTTCAGATAATACAAAAAAAAAAATATATCCCGCACTTTTCCTTTTCCATAAAGAGGATAGCATCACAACAAGAGTCAAGAAAAGGCAACTTTTAGAACAGTCTTATTCTTTTACTACTGCACACCGAGTGTCAACACATTAGCTCACTGTAAGCAAATAGCTGCTTAACTACGCAGTTGTACATGCAACAGTAATGACATAGTTTTAACGTTTTTTGGAAAGACGCAATCTTATGCCAAATACACCATATATAACCTTACGACATATCCGCCAAATACTTTTGAGTTTGAGTTGTGAAAGAAAGTTAAACGAAATCGTCTTAATTACTGTGTACACATTTTTACAACATACAACTAATTATACAGATTTAAGTATTTTTTTTTAAAAAAAAAAAAAAAAAAGATATAAATGACTTTAAGTATGATGTTGAAACGTTTGGCATCCTGTTGAAATGGCGGGCATAGGCATATATAGGCATATATAGGCATAGGTGAAAGTGAGTTCGTCTTGGAGGGTTTGGTTGCAATCAAAAAGACAAAGTTGCATGTGGGGTCAAATGTTGAGAATGGAATCTTGTTTTGGTCCAACCAATTTTCACCACTTCCTTTAATAAATAATAACCAAACCATGATTATCACAAACGTCTTATTCCTATAAATGAAATATTTTTTATAATTAATATGGAAAATTAAGCACATCCATCCATGCACATTTCAATGTCTAATTATTTTTTAATAAAACAAGCAAGTTAATAACAAAAACTTAATTTTCTTTTATCAAATAGCCAAAAATATTTATTAAAAAGAAACTGTTATATAAAAAATAAATAAAAGGTTACATGACTTTTATTCCATGAAGAAACTAAAGATATTCGAAGAATACAAAAGACTTCGGACAAAATCAATAAATAACCATTAAATATCCAGCTATTCTTTTTTGGATTCTCCCTGTATTTTCCTTCTTAACTATTATTAAAACAAATATATACTAAAATGATTTTCTTAAATTGCAATTACTAAATTAAGAAAATCGAAGTTAACCCGTTAAAGCTCAAGACTTATATCATATCGTTTTCGTTTGATTCGGTTTTAGACCAAAATCAAATTAAACCAATTATGTTTTAAAAAAAAAACACCATAACAAAAGGTTCTTATAAATAAAAAAAACCGACTTCTATAAATTATCAATTTTAATTTCGAAAATATAAGTAGAATCTTATTGCATTCGACTTCAAGAGCAAGAGGTTCTTTCATTTTTTGAAAACACTTAATTAAAATATTTATATTTTAAATAATATATTATTTACCTCCTTTGAACATATTTTAAAAAACAAGAATATAATCAAAAAATATTTATCTTATCTTAATAAATTTTAGGGACTATTTTACAGCAGAATCTCTAAAACGGGAGAAAATAAACAGTTTAGACAAATGTTATACTCCAAAGTCATATAAAATCTGTAACTCCAACAAAATAATTACAATTTTTATCATATCTTCACCAATAAAAAAATCATTTAAATCAAATGTAAGTTTTTGGTCTCCTAAAAGGTCGGTCAGTCAGTCAGGCTCACCAAATATGAAGAAAGTGTGTAAGTTTTATTTGTTCTGTTAACCATATATAAATATTATATATTTAAAAAAAATTAATATTTTATTAAATATCTTCAAAATAATTTGGAAAGTTTGAAATTTAATTTGGATAAATCTGTCATGGATATGGATCTGTAAAACAGAGACTTTGGGTGTGTGTTTGAGATGTAAATATGTGAGAGAGAAAAAAAGAAGCTGTAAAGAGTTGTACCTTGAAATCATTGTTGATGATCATTCCAACCGTACAAAATATAGTAGCAAACAAACACATAACCATCTGAATCTCCAACACCAATGTATACGTAATCCCCTGCTTTGCTTTATTGTACGTTAACTCTATCAACGGCAATATAAAACCATACAGCAACGCTGCCGCCACCGTCATCACAAACCCTAACGTATATTCCTTCTTACTCTCTCCCGCCGGCCGATCACTGCTTGTATGCAACGCCAGCACCGCCGCACCCACCGTCAAAAGCACCACCGCGTTGATGGTGTACGGTGTGAACTTCTGTTTCACCAGAAGGTAGGCGAAGAACGCCGTGAAACCCAGCTGGGAGGCGATGATGAGGGAGGAGGTGGAGACTGGGAGGCGGGCCACGCCGTAAGCATAGAGGTAGTCGTCTAGTCCGGTGACGATTCCGATGAATGCCACCGCGAAGAACAACCGTGGACGCATGTAGATGATGGTGGTTGGTTTGTTGTTGTTGTTGTTTTCGTGTTTTCCGGCGGATCGGCGGAGGAAGTAGAGGATTACGAGGACGACGACGATGAACGGCCAGCCGGCGGTTTCGAGTGACGACGACAACCAGACGCGGTTGCCGCCGTGGATGAAGTAGAGGCGCATGATTAATGGACCACCGCAGTTTCCGATGGATAAAAGAATACAATTCAGGATTAGAAGTGTTTTCTTTGCCGCCGGGCTAACTTTAGCCGACAAAGGCGCGGTGGTTCCGGCGGTGGTGGTGTCTGTACCGTTCTTCATTATATCTCGATGTAAATGGCTCTAAATTTGTGGAAAATAATATACGCATATATAGAGATTCCAAATTTAGAGATGATTACAGGTTTGGTCCTTGTTCTTTAGGAAACTGGTCCCTAAATTTCTTGTATTACAAAGAAAGACCCGTGGTTTGGCCTCTTAGTCTTAATATAACATTGACGGTGCTTTAGGAGAATCTTTGAAGGAAAAAATTTAAATCTTTGTTGAGATATGTTTATCAATCATGCATACTATACCATACTATGTGAAAGACAAACGGAACTGAAAATGCAGATATGAGACATCAGGTTGAGTCGGGTTTTATTGAGTTTGACCAAATAGCTTTTGGTTGGTCTTTTTTTTTTTTTTTTTAAATTTAGTTGTGAGTGAGTTACCTCGTGTTGAGTTTATCGAGTTGGTTTTGGTAGGGTTGTTGGCTTTTTATACACTTCTGGTTTCAAATTGTTTTTCGATGAAAGTTCTAACCTAAACCAACTGAACTTCGTCGTTATGGGTATCTCATAGTGGGATACGAACAAGTTAGGTGACACTAGGATTCGCTATATATGGTTGGTGGGGTACAAAAAATATGAACCTAGCACGACTTCATTCGATGTTAATACAACTTGATTGCCTATAAAATTACATGTATCTTTAATTTGTATTTAATATTTGTTATAATGTATTAATTTTATGCTAAAACTTATGTATAAATTATTATTTTAAAGAAGGCATTCAGTTTTAAGAAATAAAATCATTTATCTTAATTAGAGAATCAAAAAGACTCGAGTATACATCTTAAATTTTGGGATAGATTGTGCAAGAGGGTTAGAAGCCAAACTAGAGACCGTAAATGAACCAAATGTTCAGTGAATTATTCAGCGCAAGTTTGTTTATTTAATAAATAAACAAACATGAATAAGATTTTTGTAATTCGTTTAGTTAAACAAACGAACATGAACAATGGTCTTGCTCGGTTCGTTTATGTTTGTCTACATTTCTGTATGAATAACGATTATTTTTATTATGTTTTCCAGAAACATAGATGCACTCTTATGAACGTGGAATATATACCGTATTGGTGACCTGAAATTGTTAGGTCTTTCATAACTCTTTAGTTAAAGTAAGAATTACTTTTGGTCGAACCATCTAGTTTCCTTCCTAAGCATGTTTCCTTTCACGATTCATCGAGGAGTTACTCGAAATGCTGCCAAAATATCAGTATCCTTAGTTTCATAGTTAGAAGTATAATAAGTCAATTTATAATCTTTAACACCACACTACTAGAAAACCAGGTATCAGCGACGAATATCAGCGAGGGAAATGCCAAAAAACTCATTCCCTCGCTGATCCTTCACTGATCTGCGAGGGAAACTTTCCATCGTTGATCCCTCGTAGATCAGCGAGGGATCAGCGAGGGAAATGCCAAAAAAACTCATTCCCTCGCTGATCTCGCTAATCAGCGAGGGAATTGCCATAAAACTCATTCCCTCGCTGATCCTTCGCTGATTTGTGAGGGATATTTCTTCTGCAAATTCCCTCGCTGATCCCTCGCAAATCAGCGAGGAATCAGCGAGGGAAATGACAAAATTCAGAATCCCTCCCAGATCAGCGAGGGATCAGCGAGGGAAGTGACAAAATTCACATTCCCTCGCAGATCCCTCGCTGATCTGCAGCTGAACATGCCAGACAAGCTGCTGCATTAGCCCAACAGGCCGCATTATCGGAGGATTTTGCTGCGTTTATGTGGCAGTCAGGATACGTTTTCCCACCTCCCCCACCTCCCGATAGTTAGATTGTATGTATTCGAAGATTAAATTGTATGAATTGAATATTTTAAATTGTATGAATCTATATTTTAAATCGTATGAATTGGTTATTTTGTTCACAGATTTGGTTTGTTATATTATTATTTCCAGGTTTTTTATAAATAAATACAGGATTTATGCATTTTTAAAAAAATTATTTTTTAATTTTATACAAATTAGCGACGGATTAGCGAGGGAAAATCTGTCGCTGAAAGTCCTTGAAATTCCCTCGCAGATCCGTCGCTGAAAGTTTCCTCGCAAATCCGTCGCTGAAACTTCCCTTGCAAATCCGTCGCTGAAAGTTCCGTCGCAGATCCGTTGCTGAAATTCCCTCGCAAATCCATCGCTGAAAGTTCCCTCGCAAATCCGTCGCTGAAACTTCCCTCGCAGATCCGTCGCTGAAAGTTCCCTCGCAAATCCGTCGCTGAAACTTCCGTCGCAGATCCGTCGCTGAAATATCCGTCGCAGATCCGTCGCTAAATACTTTCCTCGCTGATCCGTCGCTGAAAGTGTCTATCGCAAATCCGTCGCTGATATCCGTCGCTGATAGCATTACCTACGACTATTTGATCGACGGAGTATCAGCGACGGATTTGCGAGGGATTTTTCCCTCGCTGATACTCTGCATTTTTGTAGTGCCAGCTTCCAATCCAACGCTTGCTTTAGTCTCTGTTTGTGGTGACATAAATCCCTCCCTACTCCTCATGAATTAAGAATTCTCACATGCAGAATGATGATGTGGTTATAATGGTGAATGTGTGTGATAGTTAACGATGCTTGAAAACTATTCTTTTGTTTTTATTTTTGTTTTTCAAACGGTACTAAGTAATGGTGATTGTCTTTTATTCATCTATCGTCATTCATTTATGTTCGTTTCAATGAAATAATGACAATAGGGGCAGTGGGGGGGGCCGAGGCACAACTCCACTTTGATGTGTATAGTTTTTTTGGTTTTGACCTTGGATACTTAGTATCGGGTTTGCCTTTATACACATAATTTTTCTTCTAGTATATTATGTTTTTAGTCCCTGTGGTTTGTTGAATTTTCATCCTTGTGGTTTTAAAGTTACAAATTTTATTCTTATGGTTTGTAATTTATCATCTTTTTCGTTCTTATGATTTAAAATTTATTTTTATTTTTATTTATATGGTTTACAATTCATTTTTTTTTCAGTCCTTTATACTTAAATGTATTGTTTTGCCTTAGGGACGAAAATATAAATAAATTGCAAATCATAGGTATGAAAACCGAAATTTTAAAACCACAGAGACAAAATCCGAAATTTTTAACAAACCATAGGGACAAAAACGTAATTTACTCTTTTTATTTTTTCCGTTGGCTTCGAAAAACTTTATTTATTTTGGTATGGATGGTCAGACCTATATTTCTTGATTTTAATTCAATCCAATTAGTTTTTTCTTTCTCCGGATTTTGATAAGATATAAGGGGTTGTTTGACAGTTATTGAATGGTTGGTTGTAAAATGATTAAGTGGTCAGAATGATTAAGCGGCTCTCAAGATATAATGCAAAATGAAATATAATTGTTTTGTAATTATTTACAACAAAATTATGGCACTGAATGGTTAAGGGAGTCTCAAGATACAAAATCATTCAGAGAGTTTTAGAGCCATTAAGAGACAGACTTTTTTATTTGTCAAACAAGATTCACATCTTAACGATTAAGATGTTGTCTTTTAATGAAACTATTAAGAGGCAATCAAACAATTGGTGTTTGATCTTTATATTAAAAATACGGTATTTATTAGCGTACAAAATTAAAAAGTATATTTTAAAACGTAAATCAAATTGCATTAATGTATAAAAATAGTATTAAAATATTATGTTTTGGAAAATAACATAAATAAATCATAATAAAAATTCACAACAATTAAATTATAGGGCAAAATACATAAAATAGCAATCTATTTTCATCAATTTTTTTAATATAGCATTGTACTTCCAGTTTTTCTTATTACAACAATGTTCTTTCAAACTATTTTTTTATTGAAACATTGTACTTTAAAAAAAATATCTATTATAACATTGGGTAACCTTTTGATTTAAATTTACCAATTATACTAGGTTTTCATGTCACCTCATTGTCCATGTAGGTTGTCCATGTGCTATAGTGATGTGACTTTCTAATTACAATATTGTACTTTCAAAATTATTTTATTATAACATCTACTATTTCTTATAAAACAATGTACTTTTAATTTTAATATTTAGATATTTTACATGTAGTTTAATAAATATATTGAATGAATTAAAAAAATCCTAAATTATTCACTAATATACCAATATTAATAAAACTAGTAGAAGACAACTTATCTCGCTAATATTTTTTTAAAATATGTGTTTTTTGAAAAAAGAAAAAGAGAATTGTTCTTTTTTTACCAAAAAATATTATCTTTTAAAATATATATTATATTTGTTTAAAAACTTTTACTTAACGTATAAATATATTAAATTTTTTGAATTATTTATTAATATAACAATATTAAAAAAATTGTATAACACAATTTATTTCGTTAGCATTTTAGAGAGAACTTAAAAGATATGTATTTTTTTAACAACATAAAATAAGAAGTGTTACATTTTTTACAAACAAAATATATCTCGAAAATAATGTAACATATTTATTTAAGAAATATTTTACTCTAAAATATTTAATTTGCATACAACTTAATAAGAAAAAGTCAAAAAATTAATTTTTTTTAAATCATAACAATAAAAAATAAAAATCATTAATAATAATTTGAAATAAGTTTTTATTTTTATTTTAATTAAGTAATCAAAATGATGTGTCATCCACATCACTTTATTAAAGTCATAGAAGCAAAAAAAGTCAAGGGGTTATCGGTTTAAAAGGTAACAGGTTACTCATTGTTATAATGGGTAGATTTTTTAAAGTACGATACCTTAATAAAAAATAATTTAAAAATACATTATTGTAATAAAGAAAAACAAAAGTAAAATATTATAATAAAAAAATTTATGAAATTAAGTTACTATTTCATGCATTTCACCCTAAATTATATATATATATATATATATATAAATATAAATAAGACTATAATTTCTCACAATAAATAAATAACTAATGAGAAATAAATAACAAAAGAAATTGTCACTTATAATATGTCGTTAAATTACGGTAATTGTCGATGGATCAGTGGTTGAATAGTATATAAGATAAAGTTGGGCCTTCTTTCTTTCACCTTACTTCATTCG